ATATCTTTGTTCTTGTGGGGAAAGGCACTACACTGAGGACGATGTTGGCAATGGCTGCAAACCGTGGCTGGAAGATCAAGCAGATGGACATAATCATTGCCTTCTTTAATGGAATCATTCTGGAGGAGCTGTACATGCTGCAGCCTGAGGGGTTGGATGATGGGAGCAGCAGGGTGTGCAGGCTCAAGAAGGCCATCTATGGCCTGAAGCAGGCTCCTCGCGCATGGTACCACAAGCTGGAGGAGACACTGCTGGCCGGGGGGTTCAAGAAGAGCGAGTGTGATCACAGCCTGTTCCTGCTGCAAGAGAAGGAACAGTTCCTCATACTCCTGGTGTACGTGGACGACATCCTGCTCTTCTCTGAGTCGTCTGCGATGATTGAACGTGCGGAGGAGATGCTGGAAATGCAGTTCAAGTGCTCCAAGATGGGAGATGTGAAGTAGTACCTTGGGATGCACGTGGAGAGGGACCTTGACAAGGGAGTGTTGAGGTTGCACCAGAGGAAGTATTGTGAGGGGCTGGCTGGGAAGTATGGGCTGCAAGATGCAGGAAAGCCAGCCACCCCACTGCCTTCGGGGTTCACTGTGGAGCCCTGTGCTGATGAGGAGGTGGTGGGGGAGAGTGAGAGGAAGTTGTTTCACTCCATGGTGGGGGCACTCAACTATGCGGCTAACCACACGCGGCCTGACATTGCCTTTGCTACATCCAGGCTTGCGAGTGTGGTTTCACGCCCCAGTCATGAGCAGCTGGAAGCGGCCAAGAGGTTGGTCCACTATGTGAGTGCAACGGCATCAGTGGGTTTGGAGTACAGTGCTGTGCGACAGAGGCTACAGAGGGGTGCAGCTGATTTGAGCAAGGGGGAGATGCGCTTGACTTGCTACACCGACGCTAGCTTCAACTCAGTGAAGACGGATGGCACCAGCATTGGAGGCTATGTGTGCCTCTCTGGAGGTGGTGCAGTGAGCTGGCGCAACAAGAAGCACAACGAGGTGGGGTTGTCCTCGTGTGAGACAGAGTACATGGCCCTGCATCATGGGGCAAAGGAGGTAGTGTGGCTGAGGCGTTTGTTGGAGGAAATCGGAGTGTGTCAGACGGAGCCGACTGTGATTTTCTGTGACAATGAGTCGGCGGTGAAGCTTGCGAAGAATGCCTGTCTTCATGGCTTGACAAAGCACATCAGGCCAAAGTGGCATTGGACAAGGAGGCTCCTGGACAAGGAGGTGCGGCTGGAGATTGTGAAGACCCAGCAGCAGGCGGCTGACATTCTCACCAAACGCCTGGCAGAACCTGAGCATTGGAAGGGCATGAAGCTTGCGGGAATGAGTGTGCATTGAGGGTGCATGCTTGAGTTATGGCATGTGGGATGATGGTTGGCAGCCAGAGGGGGAGTTTGTTGTGTGATGCAACCATATGCATTCACGTCTGTCTGTCTCCCATCATGTGTTTGTGCGTTGCATGCGTGGTGTGAGCGTGTGCAAGAATTTGTGTTTGATGTGGTTTGGTTTTTCAGAGTGAGTGTATGTTATTTGGCTTGAGCAGATATCTGAAGTGATTCCTCTACTCAAGAGCTTTACGACGAACCAAGAATCGTCGCGATCGGAGCACAACAAAGAAAGTTACGAACATTGGAGTTCGTATGCTTATATATTTTGGTTGCAGCTACTTTGGGAAGTTGTGGCATTGACTAAATATGGGGTGTGGGGGCTGGGAAATTCGAACCCATCACTGTAGACACTTGCCAAGTGGTTGGGTGAAACCAAACCAGGTTGGCAAGTGTGGCCAAGTTGGGCAAGGTGGATGGCATGGGTTGGGAAAGTGACAAAAGTGAAAGTGGGGTTGCCTATGGAGAGGGGAATTGTGTGGCATGGGGTTTCCTTGGTTGGGGACTCTCTTGGGACCTTCCCTCTCGTCCTCCTCATCCCATCCCACCTAGTTCATTGCCACTCCAACTCTCTTGTGTAGTAATTGTGAACTTGTGAGTTAATTGTGATTGAGTTAAATTTATGTGGCAGCATACCCCCTAGTGCGCCAAAAAGCATAACTAGAGATATTCTTCATATTTTGATACAATTCAAATTGGGAAATGTAGCCTCGGTGTAGGGCTACATCATAGTCGAATTTCGTGAGATTCTAACAGTGCACGTTTCGTCGACAACGTTTCTTGTGAAGTCGACGTTTCTGTCCAGAAAATTGAGACCAACGATTTTGAGAAATTTGAGTACCTAATCTTCATAGACTCCGTCCTTAGTCTGTAACACAAATTGAGAGGAAGTGGTCCCTGACTAAGCGAAGGGAGTCAAGGAGCCGGGTGACTATGTAGTAGAGGGTGATGTACATGGAGGGGGGGTTCTTGGCGCAGAACTCAGCAGGAAGCGCATCGCGGTAGCGGGTGTCACTAGTGCAAAGGTGCGTAATGAGGTTAGCGACTGTGGGAAAGGCGGTGAGGTCAGGGAACAGGTACGGCAGTATGAGGCGGCTAAGAGCAGCAATGACAGGGGAAGAGTAGCGAGCAACGACAGCGTCGTACAAGGTCGTAGCACTCTTATACTGACTAAAATGCGCACGCTCAGTGGTCGGTAAGTGGCGACGCACAGCAAGACGGGCAGCAGCATCGCGTGTGGCCCACAGTGAGCGAATAGTGTTGTCAGCATCAGCAGGAGGGGCAGGAGAGGCACCAGAAGTGAGGTCAAAGAGGGAGAGTCCGTCTGCCCTATCGCACTGTAGGAAGAGCTGCAGATCATCTACCCAGACCTCAAAGTCAACAGCCCGACCCTCAGCATCAAAGGTAAGGACACTGGGGGTAGCCATGATGGCAGGAGTCTAGTGGTGAGAGCTGTAGACTAAAGGCAGCCCAATGGCAGGGGCGCTGCTCGAAGTGCTCTTACCAGTTCGGGTGGGTAGTGCCGAGGTGCACCGATAGGGACAGGGCCGCAGCTGCGGCGGCTCGGCGGCGGCGGCTCGGCTGCTCAGCGGCTTGGCGTCTCGTCGGCTCGGCGGCGTGGCGGCTCGGCGGCTCGACGGCTCAGCGGCTCGGCAGCTCGGCGGTGCGGCGGCTCTGCGGCTCGGCGTGGCGGCTCGACGGCTCAGCGGCACGGCGGCTCGGCGGCTCGGCAGTGAAGGGGCCGGGGAGGAGCCGTAAAGGGGCGGCGACGGGGCCGCGAAGGGCGTCGACGAGGCCGCGGGTGGGCAGCGATGGGGCCGCGAAAGGGCGGCGACGAGGCCGCGAGAGGGCGGCACTGGGGCCGCGAGAGGGCGGCGACGGGGCCGTGAAGGGGCGGCGACGGGGCCGCGAAAGGGCGGCGACAAGGCCGCGAGAGGGCGGCACTGGGGCCGCGAGAGGGCGGCGACGAGGCCGCGAGGGGTGGTGGCTGGGCCGCGAAGGGCGGCTACGGGGCTGCTAGGGGTGGCAACGGGGCCGCGAAGGGCGGCGTCGGGGCCACTGAGGGCGGCGATGGGGCCGCTAAGGGCGGCGACGAGGCCGCTAAGGGCGACGACGGGGCCGCAACGGGCGGCGACGCGGCCGCGTAGGTGGGGCCGCGAGGGGCCGCTAAGGGTGGCGACGGGGCCGCTAGGGGCCATGAGAGGGGCCGCTAAGGGTGGCGCGACGGGTCGCTAAGGGGAGGGCGGCACGTAGGGCGCGCCTTGGTCAAGGTCGACTCGATCTCAGGGCAGGATTTTTTTTTTTTACTCGATTTTCAGTGGTGGGCCCTAGGAAAAATTCCCACTAGGGAACGTGCTCTATACCATGTCAAGAAATGAGGAATGATGAACTAGGAAATGAGTTGGGTTCAAATATGAAACCCTAGAAAACTGTACCCCATACTGTCTACCCCACTACAGCTTAGAAAGACTATAGCATATAAGTTCGACATGCAGATGTGGTCGTGGCATGCCACGAGAACGGGTGGATGGACGTGGAGGGTGTCATTCAATGGATTGAGGAGTGCGTCAAGCCCTACTTACAGCCCGGGTTTGAGAGGCATGCGCGGAGCTCGATGCTCGTACTTGATTCCTACAGAGGTCACCTCACCGAGGGGGTGAAGGAGAAGTTTGGTGAGCTCTACCGCGTGCCGGCGGTCATCCCGTCGGGCTGCACGGAGGAGGTACAGCCCCTTGACGTCTCCATCAACAAGAGCTTTAAGGCGAGGCTCTGCCAGCAGTTCAGAAGTGGTTTCAGGAAGATAGCTTAGAACAACGAACCAAAGCAAGTTCGGCAGCCACACGATTAATCAGTATCCTAGTTAATTGTCCCAACTTTGTTGTGCTAACTGGATATTATGTGTTTGTGTTCGTGCAGAGAACTTGAAGAAGCCGCCCCCAGAGGTGGTCGTGAGGTGAATCTCACGGGCCCGGAAGGCCGTGCCCGCCGACCTCATCAAGCGCACCTTCCTCACATGTGGCATCAGCAACGTGCTTGACGGCAGTGAGGACAGGCTCACCATGGCACACAGGCGGAGCCAGCTGACAGCGGAAGTGGACGTCGATGATGCCATCACCGCTGATGGCTTCTTTGGCAACAACTTCAAAGAACCCGAATCTGACGAGGAGGAGCGGTAGATTTTACTAGATGGTAGATAGGCTAAACTACGAAATGTGTAGTTAGAAAAAACTGTCATTGATGAAATTGTAGGTGAAAATTTTATCATGTTAATGTTTAGTGTTACTTGTTAGTGTTTTTTTTTCCTTTATTGAGACATCCAGAACATTAAAGGGGTGCGCTTATAAAAAGTACAGCCTCCAGAGGGGGTGCGCTTATAATTGAGGTTCGGCCATAAGTGAGGAAAGTTACGAACGAGAAAATGATTCCATTGAGCAGCATGAGGAGTACAAGTACCAAACCCTAAAGTGTTGTACCCCATATAAGCTGCCCCACTACAGCCTACACAGACTATAGCATATGTGTTTAACACACCCCCATAGGCAAAGTGGGGGAGGATAAGGGGTCACAAGACCAGTCAAGCAAAGCAAGGCAAAGCAAGCTCAGGGTGGATCACTAATAGTCACAGCTCCACCTCTGCCGCCGCTACCTCCACCACCGCCTCCACTTCCGCTACCCCCGCTCGCACCGCCACCACCGCCACCTCCTCTGCCTCCACTGCCGCCACTAGCGCCCCCACCCCCGCCACCACTCCCACCGCCACTACCACCCCCTCTTCCCTGCCTCCATCGCCTCCTCCACTGCCCCTGCCACCTCCTCCAGCGCCCTTGCCCCCCTTGCCCTTGCCTGAGCGGCGTCTCCCGCTAGGGGTTGACGCCGCGCTGACTGACTCAAGACCAACGAGGTCTGCCGCAGCAGCAGAGGCAACAGAGGGCAAGAGTGGGGAGGGTGAGCACCCCTAAAAGAGAGGGGTACAAGGGTCACCACGAGAGGCTCATACAGCAACTATACCCTTCTCTGCTTCTAGGAGGCGCTCCTCGAGGAGGTCAACGGTGAGAGTGGTGGGGCAGACAGAGAGGAAGTGTACCCTGACCGAACGAAGGGTGTTAAGGAGCCGCGTGACTATGTAGTAGAGGGTGATGTACATAGGGGGGGGGTTCTTGGCGCAGAAGTCAGCAGGAAGCGCAGCGCGGTAGCGAATGTCACTAGTGCGAAGGTGCGTAATGAGGTCAGCGATTGTGGGAAAAGCGGTGAGGTCAGGGAACAGTTTCGGCAGTATGAGGCGGGTAAGGGCAGCAGTGGCAGGGGAAGAGTAGCGTGCAACTACAGCATCTTACAAGGTCTTAGCACTCTTGTACTGACTAAAATGCGCGCGCTCAGCAGTAGGCAAGTGGCGCCGCACAGCAAGGCGGGCAGCAGCATCGCGGGTGGCCCACTGTGAGCGAACAGTGGGGTCAGCATTAGCAGCAGGGGCAGGAGAGGCACCAGAAGTGAGGTCAAAGAGGGAGAGACCGTCTGCCCTATCGCACTGGAGGAAAAGCTGCAGGTCATCTACGCAGACCTCAAAGTCAACAGGCCGACCCTCAGCGTCAAAGGTGAGAACACTGGGGGTGGCCATGACAGCAGTAGACCAGTAGAGAGAGCAGCAGGGTAGGGTAGTGCAGGGGCGGAGGCGCTGCTCTTACCAGACAGGTAGGGCGGGCCGAGGCAGACTGACAAGGACAAGGCCGCTACTGCAGTGACTGCGGCGGCTCGGCAGCGGCGGCGTGACGGCTCGGCGGCTCGGCTGCTCGGCGGCTCGGCGGCTCGGCAGCAGGGCGGCTCGGCGGCTCGGCTACTGGGCGGCTCGGCGGCTCGGCTGCAGGGCGGCTCGGCTGTAGGGCGGCTCGGCTGCTGGGTGGCTCGGCGGCTCGGCGGCTCGGCTGCAGGGCGGCTCGGCTGGGGCTGTGAAGGGCGGCGTCGAGGCCGTTGAAAGGGGGGCGGCGACGGGGCCGCAGTAAGGGGCGGCGACGGGGCCGCGGTAAGGGGCGGCGACGGGGCCGCGTAAAGGGGCGGCGACGGGGCCGCTGAAAGGGGGCGGCGACGAGGCCGAGGAGGGGCAGCGACGGGGCCGCGGAAGGGCGGCGACAAGGCCGCTAAGAGGCGGCGTCAGGGCCGCTGAAAGGGTGGCGACGAGGCCGCTGAAAGGGTGGCAACGGGGCCGCTGGAAGGGCGGCGACGGGGCCGCTGGAAGGGTGGCGACGGGGCCGCTGAAAGGGCGGCGGCGAGGCCGCTGGAAGGGCGGCGATGGGGCCGCTAGAAGGGCGGCGACGGGGCCGCTAGAAGGGCGGCGACGGGGCCACTGAAAGGGCGGCGACGAGGCCGATGGAAGGGCGGCGACGGGGCCGCTTAAAGGGTGGCGACGCGGCAGCTGAAAAGGTGGCAACGGGGCCGCCGAAAGGGTGGCGACGGGGCCGCTGAAAGGGGGGGAGGCGGCGATGGGGCCGCGAGGGCGGCGCGACGGGGCCGCGAGGGGGGTGCGACGGGGCCGCAAGGGGCCACTGAGGGGCCGTGAGGGCGGTTCGACGGGGCCGCGAGGGCGGCGCGACGGGGCCGTAAAGGGGCCGCTAAGGGACGGCGACGGGGCCGCTAAGGCGGGCGCGACACTAGACGCGCTTCGGGCAGGGGCGGCACGCGCCCCGGGTAGGAAAAAAAAGTCGTGGTGGGCCCTAGGAACAGTTCCTACGAGGGAACCTGCTCGATACCATGAGGAAAGTTACGGACGAGAAAATGATTGCATTGAGCAGCATGAGGAGTACAAGTACCAAACCCTAAAGTGTTGTATCCCATATAAGCTGCCCCACTACAGCCTACACAGACTATAGCATATGAGTTTGACAATAAGCCCCATGCTCCAAATAGAAGCGCCGGTGCCCTTAATAGGACGGCGCATGTATCGGGGAGCCATACAGGCAAATGCATGAGCAAATATTTATATAGCGAAATCATCACGGCTCTGATGCCGAGGTTGGGAAATGTCGAGGCGTAGAAACGGGTCTCACGTTACCTGCTGAGCCGGGTGATTTTAGGCACGATAGTTCGTGGTGTTGGTGTCAAATGATGTATATGCTATATATGTTTAGGCTATAGTGGGGTAGCCAATATGGGGTACAACCCCTTCTAGGGTTTCATATTTGTACCCAACTCTTTCATAGTTCATTCATTCCTGCCTAGTATTCTGACATGGTTTCAGAGTAGGAGGTCCCTAGGACCTAACTCTGTGGGCCCACTGTCCTTTTTTTTTTTTTTTCCGCCGCGTCACGCCCTACTGTCGCCCCTAGCGGGCCCTAATGCTGCGTCGCGCCCTACTGCTACGTCGCGCCCTGCTGCTGCGTCGCGCCCTGCGGCCGCGTCGCGCCCTGCTGCCGCATCGCGCCTTGCTGCCACGTCGCACGCACTGCTGCTGCGTCGCCCCACTGCTGAGTCGCGCGCGCTGCAGCTGCGTCGCCCGCCCGCCGCGTCGCGCGCCCTTCACTCGCGTCGCCGGCCCTGCTGCGTCGCGTGCGCTGCTGCCGCGACGCCCGCCCTGCTGCGCCGGCCGCGCCCTGTTGCGCCGGCCGCGCCTTGCTGCGCCGGCCGCGCCTTGTTGCGCCGGTCGCGCCCTGCTGCGCCGCCCGCGCCCTGCTGTGCCGCCCGCGCCCTGCTGCGCCACCCGCGCCCTGCTGCGCTGGCCGCGCCCTGCTGCGCCGCCCGCGCCCGGCTGCGCCGCCCTAGCCCTGCTGCGCCGCCCGCACCTTACTGCGCCGGCCGCGCCCTGCTACGCCGCCCGCGCCCTGCTGCGCCGCCCGCGCCCTTCTGCGCCGCCCGCACCCTACTGCGCCGCCTGCGCCCTGCTGCGCCGCCCGCACTCTGCTGCGCCGCCCGTGCCCTGCTGCGCCGTCGCCTGCCCTGCATCGCGCGCCCTGCTGCTCATCACCGCCTAGCACTATGGCCACCCTTCGTGTTCTTTCCTTCGACACTTAGGGTCGCCCTGTAGAGTTCGATGCCTGGCTCGATGACTTGCAGCTCTACCTCATTAGCACCAGCAAAGACGAGATCTCCCTTTTTGATCACACCTCCGGTGCTCTAGCCGCTCCTGCTGACACAGCTGCCCTTTGCGAGCGCTCTCAGTGGCTGACACGCGATGCGGCTGCCCGCCTTGCTATTCGCAACCACCTGCCGCTGGCCGAACTTAAGCACTTTGGCGAGCACAAAACCGCTAAGGCCCTGTACGACGTTGTAGTTGCTCGCTACTCCTCCCCTGCCACTGCTGCGCTCAGCCGACTCATGCTGTCATACCTGTTCCCCGAGCTGACGAGCTTTGCCACCGTAGCCGACCTCATCACCCACCTTCGCTCTAGTGACGCTCGTGTCCGTGCTGCACTCCGCAAGGGGTTTGTTGCCCAGCACCCCCCTCCGATGTACTGGACGCTCCACTTTATAGTGACCCGTCTCCCTGACACCCTTCGCTCAGTCAGGGACCACTTCCTAGCGCGCTGTCCCTCCGACCTCACCATAGACCTCCTAGAGGAGCACCTCTTAACCGCTGAGAGCAGCATTGTTAGTGTGGCTGCTGCTCGTGGCGCTCCTCGCACCCCCATCTTTGAGGGGTGTGCTTCTTCCCCTCTTGCCCCCTCCTACGCCACTGCTGCCACCGTAGACTTCCTCGGAGCTGACTCGGTTGGTGCTGCCTCCACTTCTACTGGGCGACGCCGCACCGGCAAGGGCAAGGGGGGCAAGGGCGGTGGTGGCGGTGGCGGTGGAGGAGGAGGTGGAGGAGGTGGGGGTGGCGGTGGGAGTGGAGGCAGTGGCGGCGGGGGTGCTGGTGGGAGTGGTAGCGGCGGTGGTGGTGGTGGCGGCGGTGGGAGTGGCTGTGGTGGCGGTAGCGGCGGTGGTGGCGGTAGCGGTTGTGGTGGAGGCAGCGGAGGCGGTGGTGGTCGTGGTGGAGGCGCTGGTCAGAGACAGCAGCAGCAGTGGTCCCTTACGCCTCAGCAGCTTCGTGAGTGGTTGACTCAGAGGGGTACGTCTGGGGCTACTCGCTGTCCGTATGTCATTCGCATCGGTGAGCGTGCTGGTCAGACATGCGGCAAGCCCCACCCCCAGCAGCGTTGCTTCTCTCGCCTTAACGACGCCTGGCGTGAGGAGATGGGTGCAGAGGTTGAGACCCTTCGCTGGTTTGAACTGCTGAAGAAGGGTGTAGACATCTTTGCTCTAGACTATGATACTATTCTTGCTGCCATGTATGCATTGTCTGTTAGTGCTGCGGGTGACTGCTTCCTGTGTCTGCCGCCTGATCCAGGTATAGAGCCAGTAGCTCTTGGTGCTTGCAAGTCTGAGCTCTCAGGTACCGCGTCTGCTGCCTTAGGTACGGGTGAGTCTGCGCTGTCAGGTACTGCGCCTTCTACTGCCTTGCACACCTTCACTCTTGACTCAGGTGCTTCCAGGTGTTTCTTCCGCGACAGCACAGCCCTCACACCGCTCCCTGCACCAGATGCAGTCTCCCTGGCTGACCCCTCGGGGGGTCCAGTCCTTGCACGGTCTACCACTGTGCTTCCTTGCCCATCGGTCCCGTCTGGTTCGCTGTCAGGTCTCCACCTCCCCTCGTTCTCTATGAACTTGGTGAGCAACGCTGTCATTCAGGACCACTAGGTTGATACCTTCACCCCTGGAGGACAGCGTGTGGCGATCTTTACGTGCTCCAGGACTGGGCGACACCTGGCCACGTTCACGCGTGCGCCAGGGTCGAGCCTTTACACACTGACCACTGTGTCTCCCCAGGTAGCTGCTGTCGGTCAGGCATCTACGTCAGGTCAGCTAGACTCCCCCTGCTCGTGTCGCTCCCTGTCGCACGGGACCGTACTCTGGCACCACCGTCTGGGCCACCCCTCCCTGCCCCGTCTTCGTGACATGCACCGTCGCGTCCTTGTGTCTGGTCTTCCCCGGACCCTGCCTCCCCTCCCTGCTTCGCCTGCCCCGACCTGCCTTCCTTGCGTCAAGGGGCGGCAGCGCGCTGCTCCTAACTCCTCCTCGTTTCCTCCGACAGAGGCTCCGCTGCAGACTCTCCACATGGACGTGTGGGGCCCCGCCCGTGTCAGCGGACGGGGTGGAGAGCGGTACTTCCTGCTGGTAGTTGACGACTACTCGCGTTACACCACGGTCTTCCCCTTGCGCACCAAGGGTGAGGTCCCTGCTGTCCTGATTCCTTGGATCCAAGCGGTTCGTCTCCAGCTACGCAGGAGGTTTCAGACCGACCTCCCTGTTCTGCGTCTGCACTTTGACAGGGGCGGAGAGTTCGCCTCCGACCTCTTGCGCGGCTTCTGTCAGGAGGAGGGCATCACCCAGTCTTACACGCTTCCGGGCTCACCGCAGAAAAATGGGGTTGCTGAGCGCCGCATTGGCCTGGTCATGGAGATCGCTCGTACCTCCTTGATCCATGCGGCGGCTCCCCATTCTCTGTGGCCGTTTGCGGTCAGGTACGCCGCACAGCAGCTCAACCTCTGGCCCCGTGTCTCCGTTCCGGAGACCTCGCCCACATTGCGGTGGACGGGGGAGGTTGGAGATGCGTCGGTGTTCCGGGTCTGGGGTGCCCGTGCTCTTGTT